AACCTGTTCTCAAGTGGTTTAGCTACCAATCTGCCATTTAAATTTTTAATTTTATTTGCTTGAGCACACTGATCGACCACTGAACTGCCTTCTTCCATTGTCCTGCAATGATACAAGGGTTACATTTTTGTGTATATGGCTTTCATAGTGGGGATTTCAGAGCACTGATACCAGATATTTTCAGTTTGTTCTCTGGGGGAATTTCATTTGCATCTATGTTTTTAGCTATCTGTGATAACTTGTTAAATATTAAAAAGATATTTTGCTTCTATTGGAACATTTGTATACTCGCAACTATATTTCTGTAAACAGCTGCAGTCAAAAATAAAACATTGAAAGTTTTCATTTTGCAGTGGGTAACTGTCTTTTTTCCTCAAACTTTGTGAATGAATTCATGTACTTGAATGACAATTTTGAGCAACATGAGTATGTGGCTGAAATTATAAAATCATTAGGGAAGACGTATGAAATATAGAAATATTTCTGAGTAGTTATTTTGTGCCTACCATTTTTCCAGGGAGAGTACAAGTGATTTAGTGTTATAGAATTTTTGTTATTTTTACTTAATTTAAATATTTCTTGTTTATAAAGCAATACATACACATGAGGTGCTTTTGATGAAAACCAAGTCTCCCCACCCCTGAGTCCCACACCCAGAGGCAATCTCTTTTTATTCTTTTGGTAGTTATTTCACATCTCTAAGTTAGTGTTTACCAGAGTATCGTACATATAACCAGTAGTGGTACTCAGAATGATTTCAGGTGATACATGGATAAACATTGTAAATATTATTTTTAAACTTACATGCATAAGTGTTTTAATGTTCATTAGAAAAAACATAATGCGTCCACCTACCAGACTAAGGGGGAAAAAGTGAGTCAAATAAAAGAAAAAAATGCTAATATAGGTTATATATATATATATATATCATAAATATGTTACATAAATAACTGAGGCTTAAGAGACACTGCTTTAGAGAGTATGCTTATGCCTTCTTATCAAATACAGACAGTATGTGTTGATTCTGTGAAGGAATGACAATTTTTAACACATCCAAATGTATACATCTAAATGAGTTGTCACTTAAGAGGCCATATGTATAGTTTAACAATGCTGCCATTGTTCTAAATACAGTATGTTTAAAAGTTGTCTTTTCGTATTTATTGACTTCAACAGCACCGAAAAGGAGTAATAACCAAATGAAATTTAATAAGTATTTATTATAAACATCAAGTTATATACTTTGGTCCAGAAAAATAGCATCTGTGGGCAAAACACTCATCCGAAGATAGGACTACAATGGTGATGGGGCTGCCAGAAAAACTGATGGAATCTCCAGTTACACAGTTGGACAGTATCCCTAATAAGAGAGGTATTTGTCCGGTTTTACTGCAAGCTGGTAAGAGCCCTACTCTGTCATCTTGTAAGGAACAGACAGATTCTCAGCAGTCATATAAGCATAGAAGAGAACTGGAACATCATTTATCCCTGCTTAGGACACAATAGGGACTCTGGAAATAAAAAGCAACTATAGTTTCTCAACAGCAACACTAACTAACGGTCTTACTCTCAGAAAAAGGGGTTGCTACTCATGTTCTATTTCATGGTGCCATTGTCTCTGCTTCTACTGAGGCAGTATCATAGTATATAAAAGCATGGGCTCTTGAGTTTGCCTACTGTGTAACCTCCATTCCTCAATTTCCTTTTCTATAAAGTGGAAACAATAATATAAGCCACCTTGTAGGGTTGTTACAAGAGTTAAATACATTAATCCATATATAATAAAATTACTTAGTTCCTGGCACACAGTGAAGTGCCCTCATAAGTATTACCTTGTGTCAGTATTACTAGTCCTAATACTACTATGCTTTTCTGTCTCTTGTGCCCTACTTCCCATATCCTTTTGTGTATTAGTCTATTTTCTGTTGCTTATAACAGAGTATCTGAAACCGGGTAATCTATTTAAAAAAGGAATTTGTGTCTTACAGTAATAGAGGCTGAGAAGTCACAGGTCGAAGGGCCACATCTGGTGAGAGCCACCTTCTTGGTGGGGACTCTGAAGTGTCCTGAAGTGGTGCAGGCTATCACATGGCAATGGGGGCTGAGCATGTTAAGGTGCTCTGATCTCTCTTCCTCTTTTGAAGCTATCAGTTCTCCTCCCATGATAAAACTCATTAATCTATTAACCCATTAACCCATGAATACAGTAATCCATGAGGACACAGCCATCATGATCCACTCACCTCTTAAAGGCCTAACCTCTCAAAATTGCCACATTGGGGATTAAATTTCAACACGAGTTTTGGAGGGGGACAAATAGTCAAACCATAGCCATTTTGCTTTTTCAAAGATATGTCCCCCTCAGCAACAAAAGTTTTTCTCTTAATCATTTCCATTGGTATATAAATTTGTTGTGTCTCTTATCTCTTAAAAAATCATAAATAATTTTCTTTGATTATACATCCCCCTGCACATTATTTGTACTTCTCCTTCCATTCTTTCTTGAACTCACTCTAATAAGGCTTTCATCACACCACTCTACTGAAATAGTGCTTGTTAAAATCACCAATGAATGACCTCCACATGGCCAAGTCCAATGATCAATTCCCAGACTTCATCTTACTTCGTTTCTCAGCAGTATTTGATACCCTTGATCACTCTCTCCTTGAAACATTTTCTTCACTTGGCTTTCAGGACACCACACTCAGCTGTCCCTTTTCCCTGGCACCATCTTTTCACTCTCATTTTACCTAACATTGGAGAGCCTCAGAGGTCAATCATCAAATCTCTTCTCTATCATAACTCAACTCCTATGTGATCTCATCCAGTCTCATTGTTTTAGATACCATCTATATGTTGAAGATTTCCAAATGTGTATCTGTGGCCATAAATTCTCCCTTGACTCCAGGCTCTTAGTATCCAACTGCCTCCTTGACACCTGGCTGTCTTAAAAGACATCTTAAACATAACACGTCTGAAGCCAAATTCTGATTTTACCCTTCCTACTCCCCACTCCTGCCCCAAATACTCTTTGCAGATTTTTCCTGATCTAAGTCAGGCCCCCAAATCCAAAGGTGTTTTGGAAGAAGAGATTCTATTTGCTAAGATGAGGAAGAATCTGCTGCTTCTTCCTGGCATTTATCACCAGACTACTGTTCTTCATGAGAACACAAACTCCATCAGGACAGGTACTTTGTTTTGTTCACTGCTGTGTCCCCAATGCCTAGGAGTGCCTGGCCCATTGATTGGATAAATCAGAATAAACACTGCTCCCGTAGCATTTATTTACAGCATTTTCTGTTTTTCTTGATTTCTTTTTTTTTT